GGGCAACTGGGGCTCGGTGGAGCTCCCTATGGAGCCACGAAACGTGTGAGGGGTGTGCCGAAATGGGTGTGGGTGACGCATGCGGCCGCGGGCACTGGGGCCTTCGGTGGAGCTCCCTATGGAGCCACGAAACGTGTGAGGGGTGTGCCGAAATGGGTGTGGGGGACGCATGCGGCCGCGGGCACTGGGGCCTTCGGTGGAGCTCCCTATGGAGCCACGAAACGTGTGAGGGGTGTGCCGAAATGGGTGTGGGGGACGCATGCGGCCGCGGGCACTGGGGCCTTCGGTGGAGCTCCCTATGGAGCCACGAAACGTGTGAGGGGTGTGCCGAAATGGGTGTTGATGATGATGATGATGATTGGAGGGGGGAGGAGGCAGCGGGAGGAAGGAAGGAAGGAAGGAAGGAGAACGCGGGGCACCGTCTCTTCAAATCCAGGACCCAACACCACAGGATGGTTGGGAAATAAAAAACTTCCTAAGCCTTCCTCCTTCTCCTTTCTCGTCCTCTGCCTCCTCCTTCCTTCTTCCTCCTGCTCTGCCTCTTTGGCTGAGAATATGTCTGCTCATCCTTGTTTTGTCATGGCCTTGCGGCCGGTGCTGCCGACCCAGACGGACCACGACGACGATGACGACCACGACGACAATGAAAACACCGAGCTGATGACCCTGTCACCGGCTCGGGACATTGGGCGGACGATGGAGGGAAGAGGAGGAGGATGAGGATGAGGAGGAGGAGGATGAGGAGGAGGAGGAGGAGGAGGAGGAGGAGGAGGAGGAGGAGGAGGAGGTGGAGGTGGAGGTGGAGGTGGAGGTGGAAGTGGAGGATTAGGAGGAGGAGGTCAGGTCAGGTCAGGTCAGGTCAGGCATTTCTCGACAGCTTCTCGTGAGAAGGCTACTGGGGGGGTGAGGCACATAAGCCACAGCCCAGAGGCCCAAGTGTGGGCCAGCAGAGAAAAACCCAGAAGGGCACATAAGCCAGAAGTACGGGTACGTAAACACAGAAACCGTTTTACCCCATTCCCCTCCTCCTCCTCCTCCTTCTTCTCCTCCTTCTCCTCCTCCTCTTCCTCGGCCTAAACGCGGTAGAGGGACTGGAGGAGGGCGTGGCACAGCAATCCTGCCGCGCGTCTGCGGCGGGCACAGCGCGGGTGATGCCGCTGCCGCGCTGCCGCCGCCGACGGTGGGAGGAGGGGCGAGTGGATACGAAGTGAAGATGCAGATGGAAGGGGAGAGGGGTGGGAGGTGAAGTCTCGACGGGAAAGGCCGCCGCCGACGGTGGATGGCCAGCATCGAAAGGGGACACGAGCCAGAGCCTATCTAGAGAGAACAGCACGACTCCTACCACCAAACATAGTACTCGAATCACCTTCTGACACACCCCACCACGACCCCTATGAAATAGAACTCGCGAGGGTGAACCACCTGTGCAAATCACTCTGCACGAGGACGGGTTCCTGTGGCTGCTCAGGTGCAAGATTAGAGAACAGACCAGCCAACTGCACTGGAACGCGCCTACGCTCTCTGGAGCGGGCCCGCCTCCTCCTCAACGCTTCAGCTCTGTTTGCGGCAATCCGCTCACGGACGTCCGAGGGAAGAGGCGGAGGCGGAGGCGGGGGAGAGTCAGGAGCAGAGGAGGGGGGGGGGCACTCTCCAAAGGCAGCAAGCGACGCCTCCTCAGCTGCGACACCACGCATCGCCACTGAGTGGGTGCCCTCCAGCTCCTCCTCCTCACTAGGCATCCTTCGTTCCTGCTCTGGCCTAAGCACCGCTGAAATACGAGCTAGCGCAGGCATCGGCCTGGGGGCAGGAGGATGCGCAGCAAACTCAGGCCCCACGGCAGGAGCATTTTGGGCAATATTGTTGGAGTCCACAAAGAAACGGAACAACTCTTTAGCCTCACTGGCTTCCTCGGAGCCTTCCAAGACAGACGATTGTCCTAAAAGCGAGGGAAAAATCGCCTTCAACATAGCAGTGGCTACAACGGTACAAAGCTCTGGCGGGTATCACTTTTGGGGGCCGTCCTCCAACGTTTCAGAACAGGGTCCCACCCTACCATGGCCGTATGTGCACGCGTGCCATGGGAACACTATCCTCCACTGGGGGTGCTACTCAACAAGGCGGGGAGATCAGGGAGACGAATGCCTAAAAGAGCAGTGGGTGCTCTCCCACTTTGACCAAACTCACATTGATCGAAAGTTGTGAACGAAGAGCATGGGGCGGCGATGAGGGCCTTAATGGGGGAGGAGGTTCCATGAGGGCACAGAGCGGGGCTTCCAAGACGGAGGGGAGGGATGTTCCATCCATGCACAACCTTGCGCAATCATCATGGCACACATTAGGTCGACCATGGATTGAAACAAATCATTAGAGACTGCAACCTGTACCTGTTATCTGGGCGTGAGCTCTGTCACTCCCCACGGGGCTTGCCATGTCCTGAGAGGAGGGAGGCCCCCTCTCTCCAACGTGCAGCACAGAACGTTTCACAGGGCGGCCCCCCTCC